TAGCTGGTCTCCTAGTTATATAACCAAATAGTAAAGCACAAATCATGAAAATAGCCCTAAAATAATAGAAACATGTTGTCTAACCCAGCGATCAGTGTGGACGTACATGAACTAGACACGAAAAACAGGCTTCAAAATTTACAATGGGATGAGGAGTCTACGATTTAATTAAGTAGGTTGGGTTAGATAGGTTAGTTAGGTTAGGTTAGGTTAGGATAGGTTAGATTAGGTTAGGTTACGTTAGGATGACACGTAAAGAAGGGCATTTCTTCTGCCGGCAACTCACCCCTACCTGGCTTGGGCTTGGGGCAACTAATGATCATTTGATGGGACCCTTTGAGGGCTTGCGCAATAAAGAAACTCTTTGGCGCAATTGACGTACGACCGCTGATACAAGGAATGTTGTATACAGTTCGTTTTTAGCTTGGTATGAAATAAATAAATTTGATCAAATATATCCTTATCCAATTACGGTTTACTTATTCTCCATAAGAATAACACGGGAATATCAAATTTACATTATTTTTGTTATCTCCGTAACCATTAACGTACAGCAACGGTTTAGCATGATAAATTATTTACTTTTTATGTTCTCTAAAATCGGTTTAAAATACTTTTTGCGAAATCCTTTAAATTAGGGTCCAAAATGGGTTGCAAATTTTACCCGTTATATCCCGCGATGGGTGAATGGTGTTTTTTGGCCTCAGGGGATATAAAAACGAAAACGCAAAGTGGTCCGAGGTCTAGGCTATTAGACCAAAGGTAAATAGGGTTTTTCCCTATATGAGAATTTCCCTAAGTCTTGAAATAAATTTGCTAATCACGATTTATAACAAGGAAGACTCCAACATCAAAAGGGAAGTTCACTTTGATCTTCAGGTTCAGTTTAGTTTGATTTAATGGAAACTAATGAACGTGTTTGTTTAATAAGTGTTCTAGAAATGCTATCTTTAATTTAACAACTCTATCAAAAGAGCGCATTAATAGCTTTAGAATTAAAATCTATATAAATCAAGAACAAACTAAAGTGATTCGAAAGTTGTTCTTCGTTGTTCTAAACCAAGCATACTGTTAACTTGAAAATATGTTACATCAATAAATTTTTCTGTTAGTAGTTTAGTTACTAGTAGTTACACTTAACTAGTCATTACTAATCTAACAATTTAAACTTGAACAAGTACATACAATTTGTTTATCTTTGAAACCTTGTCTCCATAAATAACTTAAATATTTTACTCATGCACTTCTTGTAAATTTAGAGTGAACCATAGTTCTCAAAGTTGAAGTGCTTATAGGAATCTTGGGACACCGGAATTGAGAACCATAAGCTGGCCTTTCATATAGTTTTCACGCATACGGAAGCGATGCTTTCATATGATAAAGTAATGATTGTACAAATTTCTACTACCTTTAACAGTCTTTCTTGACGACAATTTTAAGCATAAAATGTCCAAGTATATACACAGGGTGTTTCACGAGAGCTAATAATTTTACTTCATCCTTGTACGTTAAGCCGTTTTTCCGTAATCAATTTTGAGACATCTCTCGTGAAACACCTGTATATATAAAAGGCAAAGCCCTCACTGACTCACTAGCCATGCGAACGAGCTCACTTATGAAGTTAAAGGGGCAAAGCCCGCGGGTACAGCTAGTTTTTTTATAAATTACTAATTGCTTTTTAAGAATCAATGCTTATGAAACAAATTTTAGCTTATCATGCTCAGGCTGTAGAAGCAAGAAGTGATTTAAGGTGTAGATTTTAGTTGATATACACCATGAGAAGGTTTTACAGCAAGGCAGACTCACGATGTTAAATAATAAAAAAATCTCTCTACTGTTACAATAATTTTGTTATAACGATACTGTGTACTGTGTATGGTGTTTAAAATGAGTATTAGTGATGAAGAAGCCCTGGTGTTTTATAGACAATCAAGAAAGCGTAGAGGGCGTAGAAGGTATTGGGTACATCCTTATGTCGAAACAAATATTTAGCTTAGGCTCTTTGTAGCTGCTGCGGCATTACAAGAAACGGACGCAAAATTTCAGTCTATGTACAGGATCTCAAAAAGTACTTACGAATAGTTATCGCGGTTGGTATGCCCGATACTTGAAAAGCGCAATACAAATATGCGTGAGTCAGCAATATTCATAATATTCAATACAATATTGCCTTGCTAATGATCAAGATCAGCTGTTTCATCAGTCAGGACCATTTAAAAGCCCAATAACCAAGGAAAGCTGGGTCCAGTTTCGAACCATCAAAAAGCTACACACTTTTCTCAGGATCGAACTGGCAACCTTTAGGTGACCACAATAACCCCTGAGCTACTCAGCTTTAAGTGTCAGCTTAGTAACAGTTTTTTTCAAGAGGATTTTTTTGCTGCAATGATCAAGCAAAATCCTTAACATTGTGTTGGTGTTATATTTTATGAAGTTTGCTTTGAAAATACCATAGTAAACTATTCTAAATGGGAATAATGAAGGTCATTCTTTAAAAGTTCGCAACTTTAAACAGATGTGAGAAGGTTAAAGACTAAATCTTCTTTGTGTTCAAGATTTCTTGAGGCTGCACTAAGAGGCTTATTGCTCTATATTCTCCTAAGAGTTGCTCGACCTCCATATTTTATGCAAAATCTTTCAAAGTTGAAATACTGTGAATGTTTTCTTAAAGTTTGACAATGCAATTTTAAATAGTTGAAGTAACTGTAAAAAGTTTGTGCATTTCGTACATTTAATAACGGTACATTTTAAATAAGTAACTATAAATATTGTAAAATACATGTTACCAATAAAATATTATAGACACAAGATGTTTGTAAAGAAAACTCTAGGAGAACAAAATTAATCCAATCCATACGAAATTGTCTAGACAATCTTAAATTAGTTATAAACATCAGCTGATTATTTAATTATCATATCCTGACGGCCTGTGAACTTCAACGTTTCAAATTACACTGCCATATGTTTATTAAAATAGTTTTGATCATCCGATATAGTTTCAACAGTAGTAAACATTTAAAACTCGTTCTTAAAAAGAAATATCAACACTTTAGTAACAGTGATTTGCCTCAACAATATGTAGCAGAGTTAACATTAATTATTGGATCACTAAGGTTCTATTTCCGGAAGTTCTGTGACAGTTGGCTCATAAAGTTCCGGTTGTTTAGTCATAGTCTAAACCCTGGCTTTGGTAATTTGTTGTGAGTTTGGAACAATTGATTAACTAAAGTCGTGCTAAACCATTAGTAGCTTTGACTTGATTGGATTTAAATCCACCATATTCAAGTATGGTATTACAATTGATGATACGAATCAAAACTGACCTATATTTCCCTTTTTTAGGATGAAATAAAATGCTGTAGTCTTGACGTGTAACCGATTGAAAATTGTTTAGCTACAAAAAACTTGTTTAGCAACAGAATCACATTTCTGCCTTGTAATGAATGAATTGGTCTAATTATCATGACAGTACTGTGGATAGTCGTACTACTCATTAGTGCGGACGTTAATCCACACCAGGGAGTCTCGCTTCCTCAGTGCATGCCTACAAATATCCACAATTCGTTACCTCCAAGTAGCTGGGCAGGTCAACGCCACCGTCCCAGTCAAAACCCAGAGTTCTTAATGTGTTCTTAAAACCTTAAGTATTACCATACATATGTTACTACATAGAGTTATTTCTCACTACGACAACTTCTTTAAAATATAAACACATTTATTACTACATTAAAAACTCTATTCAATACATTTAAAATGGCTTTCGGCCTGCAATAATTAATAAATTGATTAATTTTTGCAAGCAGATGAAACCATGAAAAGGAAACAAATTAATTATTTCCAATTTTAGATAACCTTGTAATAATAGCTTTCTATGAATGTGTTTTGCTGTAAATATTTATTTATACATAGAATATTGTAGGTAATCCTAAGAAATTCGCTCAGTCTGCAGGTTTTCTGCGGCGGTGGTATTTTATTTACAAATATTTAACAATTGCCACAGAGACAGTATTTACAAAATTTTTTTGGAGTTAAAGTAGAGTTAACTCATAAGTGTTTATCATAGTATAAGTGAAGTGGTAAATGAAACTAGATAAACTTTTTAAATAATGTCCTGTATTTGTTATGCTGTTTAATTATTCATACAGTTCTTGGACAAGATAAAATAAATTGTTCTTACAAGCAAAAACACTTTTTAAATTACAATGTAATATCATACACACATACATATTTTACACCTACTTAATATCTATTTTTTTATACACAGCCTTTTCGATATCATTGATTATAAGTAAACAAAAGTGTATAATGGAATGTAGTTTGCATGTAGTTATTACATTTAACAATCGTTTCCTCAATACTAAAAGAGGTTACTTTAATTTTAAACGTTTAAGAAAATAATGAAAATTGCGCCTAGTTATAACAAAATAAATATTGATGCCAAATAAATATTATTTATTATAAACATGCATGTAAAAAGGATCATCAATCTGGAAAACAAAATTTGATATGTTTTTCTATATACACGTATTTCCTAATGTGTTATATGATCAAATTTAAGAAACAAAGAATGTAGGTAATGAAGAAACCAAAACGTCGTATGTGATACTTGCCAACCGATTTTTGGCATGCAAAAACAATGCCTGTGAAACTGTGAAATTACCCACTTTTCGTTATATATACCCTGCGAAAATTCATCATTACATGGTTTACTATGCAAAAAGAATGTATACTACCTTTTTTTGGATTTTTTTGACGTGAAAAAACAAAGATTTGTTATTGTTTCATCAACTGTTTCAATTTGCAACAACCAAAACTGTACAATCAATGTAAAATTTAACTTTAAATTGAAGGTCTAACAATGTTATGAGTAACATGTAGGCCTAACGATGTTACTAACTGCAATAAAGAAATATCAAATGTCTGTTTTCATTGAGAACATAATTAGTCTTGGTAATGTAGTGCAAAGTATTGTTCAAAACACGAGTGAAAGTTGGCATATACATATTCTGGACCATATTTTCTACTACAGTGTTAGCCAAACGGGAGTGCCGATGGAGACAAGGTCAAGTCCCTTCAAACGCACGCATCCCCACAGGTCTCCATCGGCACTCCCGTTTTGCTAACACTTACTTTAGCTTCCTTCAAAATAAATCTCGCACTTCAAACTATACTGTCTTAAGTATTTCATGAATCACTTTCTACTCTTGTTATGAAATATACTATTTCAAACACAATGACAATCTCAACTTAGTAGCACCTTGCACTTACCTAAGACCACAAATGAACAGTATATAAAACTCCTTCATCTAAGCATTAACACTTGTGCAATTAAACCTATATGTACAAAACACACACTTTTGATACATGTATAGTAACAGTACTGTCAGTCGGATGACGTTCCTAATAATGTTTCACTCTTTGGTTCACGTCACACAGTTAATTCACTCAATTTGTCCCACGTCACGTGACTCTGACGTCACAAGTCACACGGCAATGTCACACACGTGACTTCGCCTGTCTCGGGGCAGCTATAAGTAGGAGTGCCCGTGAGCGTGAGCGGGCGAGGCCGACTGGGAGGCGGGAAGCTACAGGTAACGTCAGGACTTGTCGGTGTGGCTGAACGAGTAGTGAGAGGTGATGACAGAGTTGTGACGTCGATAAGAGGAGCTGTTGACGTGAACCAGTGTGACGTCACTGTACTGGGTCTCCTGACGCAAACAACACACCAAGTAGCGGTTGAAGTACTTGCGAAAAGCCTTGCTGACGAAGTACAACGCAATGGGGTTGATGCAGGAGTTGATGTAGCTGAGACAGAACCCGACGATTCTGAAGGCGTGCCAGAAGTCATCGTAGTCGTCGTGTGAGTTTGGATAGAAGTGAAACCACAACATGAAGATGTGATAGGGAAGGAAGCAGACGATGAAGATCATGACGAAGGCCAACACCATCTTCGCCACTTTCTTCCTAGCTTGGACCTGATTGCTTTGACCTTTCCCGTGCTCCCCTGGAAGGGTTCGTGTGCTAAGCACTAAGTGTCGAGCCATCAGTATGTAGAAAGCAGCGATTACCCAGAGCGGTATGGCGTAATAAGCTAGGAATTTGAATAGCACAATACCTTTTTCGTAGGTTGTGCCAAACTCTTTTGGAAACGGAGAACAATATTCAATGGTGTGATTATCTTCGATCACAGCAGACTGGACGTTGGAGAATATCGCAGCTGGGAGTGCGAGAATGAGCGAAACCATCCAAATAGCCAAAGCTGTAACTATCGTTAGAGGTTTAGTGGAGATGTGTCTTCTGATGGGATTTACAATAGCACAGTATCTCTCTGCACTCAGAGCAGTCAGGGTGAAGACAGAGACTCCGATGGACACGTCCTTGGTAGCTTCTGATAGCTTGCAGATAAGAGCACCCCAAGGCCAGGACTCTAGAGTGTAGAGGATGGAGGTGAACGGCACACAGCTGACGATCACCAGGAGGTCGCCCAGGGCTAGACTCATGATGTACGTGTTGGGGATGTTGCGCATTCGCTTGTGTCGAGCGAAGATGAAGACCAGAGTGCCGTTGCCCAAGACTCCGACGATGAAGATGGCAGCGAACACCACAGGAACTATGTAGGTCTCCGGTCTCTGAGAGTAGGGGATGTACCCATCCTCCTCCGTGAAGTTGGCAAACACCTCTACATTCTCGACATCTTCACCCATCTTCCTGCAACAAAATGTCAAATTATGATCTGCATAGACAGCTTAGTTGGATTACTTAAAAATAAGCCGATTACAGTTTGATTAATAATTGATTAATTGTTGCCTGCTATGCTGGAATAATATAATGTTGCACGAAAAATTTATATTTCGAACAATAAAAAAAAGTACGATGAAGATTATTTTGAAAAATAAATGTAATAGTAATGGCTTAAATTACTGTTATTATTATTCTTACCAATGAGATGGGAAAGTCACTTATGTGCGTATTTTAGCCAAAATATGGACAAACGATGAGTGTAGAATGGTGTGAGATGATCTGTGTAGCATTTTTGCTGACTAAGATCAGCTGTTTCATTAGCCAGGACCACTTATTGACAGCTTAATAATTGAGGTGACCTGGGTCCAGTTTCGAACCATTAAAAAGCTACACACTTTTCTCAGGATTGAACCAGCTACCTAATTGAATTTTTGTGTGTCACACTTTGAGGCAATTTAAAAAAAATACTGTATTAGCAATTATTGATGACTAACCACAGTAAATTTTTTACTTGAAGGCTACCCTTTGTTCTTCTGCCAGTTGGCAAAATACGACAGCTGCAAAGTAACAGTGTAAAATCAAAAGTAAACAATTAATGATAACAATAATTGTTAATTAATCATTAATTTCGATTAAACTATCAATATTATTAAAGTAAATAAGTGTGTAAATTTAAGGTAAAATTATTGACGAAAGGATTGTTTTGATTAGGTAAACCTTGAAATCGTAGACTTTTGATTAGGAAACCCTCTAAACAAACACATTAATCAAAACCGATTAATATTAACCTGGAGATCAAAGCAAAGTTCCCCTTTGATATTGGAGGCTTCGTTGTTATATGCCCCGATTTGTAACTTAACAGTTTCCTTAATATAAACAAAATAATTATTACTTATCCTACTCACTGTATTAAAAACCTAGATATAAATAAAGGAACGTGTTAATGCACACAAACTACATAACTGTTATCAGTTAATAATGTTTAGATAAAATTATAAAGCAGAGAGGAAAGTTAATTACTTAACTTATAAACGGAGATCATTCAAGGGGGTCCTCCTTTTGAAATTACTATACATTGTCCTACTAATAACTCTCAATGTATTTAAAAACACATAATCCAATTAACATTTTCTGCATTCATTTTATCAATTACAATGCTCATATTCCAAAGTGTGTTACAACAACACAAACAGAGCTCTTTATTATACAATCAATATAAATACATGACAGTTTATTTGTTATGAAATATTTGCTGGTAGGCCTGTTATAAATCCAACAATAAATAATGTATCCAGTCCATTGTTTGGTAGACAATGACACCAGTAGTGTGACATTTTGAACAATGAAACATAATTACCACTGCATTCACATGTCAGGACTACCTTAAAGTCTTTTTGTTTAAAAAAAAAACTTTTATTTCTATAAGCCAATAACACTTTGCACTACTCTACGATGTTTTAGCCGTTTTAAAAACGTCAATTGGAGACTGAAAGCTACTTATTGCTGTCCAGGGCCGCTGTTCGCTGTTTTACTTAAAACATTAACTACACAAACAGTATCCATGCATAGGCTTGTTTTATTGGCCGTTGCCTATCAACTATTTCGTATTGTTTTGCTAAATCATCTAATTATTTCTTCACACAACCTTAAGTTGTTGTTGTGTTGACTGTGTGCATTTATTGTGGTGAATAGTGATGATAGGGTATAGGTATGGTGAAAAATAGCGTGTGGACCACAAAATATGGAGCCGGCAAAACCTTATTTTCGGCCCAAGGTACGAAATATACTATTTGTCACTAGGAATCACAATAAAGGCCAACTGTTTTCTCTAGAGGGTGTATATCAAGTCCCGTATGGTTTTAATATTTTCCAAACGACAACAGATAAATCAATAAGATTTGGTTCATCACCTCACCTAAAAATCTACTTTTTAAAGGAACTCACCACAAACGCGATAAACCCGTCAAGCATCTGATATCTTTTTAATTTATATAATCGAAGACTTAAACTCTCCAACAATAGACCAATTAGTCCAATGAGTCCGTCTAGTAATTTGAAGAAGCCAACAAAGAATTATTATTGATGTAGCAAATCCAATATTATGTTATCCATTGTTATAAGCTGCTTTGTTGGCCGAAATAAACATTTCACTGTACAATTAACTAATTAAGTAACTTTATGGTCAATCACTTAGTTTTGAAGCTATTACTAAAACTAGCAACTATATCAAATACGTGAGCTTTGTAAACTCACTTAATTTAAATAATAAAAAGAACCTAACTTTATTAATTTGACTTAGTACATTCGGTTGTTAAAATGCAGTATAAAAATCTATACTTGAATAATATATTCTAAAATTTATTGAAGTGTAATTAATATACGTATAAATGAATGAACAATAATTTATGGAATTTTCTTAGGTTGTTTTATGGTCAAATGTAATCTAACTCTCAATGTTGAGTTGTTGAATAAAAAGACGAATATATAAGGGATGGATCAAAATGATTATAATAAGTTATGTATACTATAATACACAAGTCACACAGCTTTAATTTAATTTTATTTTGAACGTTTTATGCATACTGGATACTTGTTTATTGTTGAATTCATGAAATAATTTATTCTAAAGGGTTAGAATAAAACTGTTATTTTAACAGAATTTGTGATTTTAATTAAATGAGTCGGTGAATTGTTCGGTAGCGTCACGGACTTCGGGCCCAAGGCAGCGATGTCGTGGGCTCGGATCCTGGTCACTGCCACGACATTATATCCGTACACTTCACCCTTGTACCACAGACAATGGCATTTTATATTGTCTGTGCTTGTACACTGTACGTACTGTACCATTTCACTCCTTGATTTACTAGATTTAATCTACGCACAGACACGTAGCCTTTGTCGACGATAAATGCAAGTTTAAAAGAGGCCGCCAACCACTTTTTCAAAATAAATAAGAAATAAAGAGAAAAGGAAATTAAAAATACTCTTGTGTTCAATCTACGTAAAAGCTTTAGAAGATTTAAATGTTTAAGCTGTGGTTTCAATTTAAAAACAAAATAATTTATTTTTACAAAATTCCAAAGTAATTCGTCATAAATGGCATTCAATCGTAAAACGTAACCAATGAAATTTAAAACGCTTCCCTGACATTAATTTAATAAACCTAAACTCATGGTCCGTGTTAAGAATAGTAGATAATATTATTTACATTAGGTAGCGTCCGCAGGCCGATGTAATTTAATACCCACTATTACAGTAATATCGTTTGGATATCAACTTTTGTTATAAAAATATACTGCACTAAAAAAAAAATACTATTATTTTTTACATAATAGCACTACATAACAGCAGTGGAAAGTGGGATTTTGAAAAACACTTCATTTTCAAACGATATTTTTTACTCCACTACTGAATAAAAAATAATTGGAATACCAACTTTTTTATTATTTTATTTTTTAGCGAATTTCTTATATAGGGAATAAGTTATTATTAAATTAAGATTTTTTAAAACTAGGCCTGCTATTTATAATGTACGGATTGAAATTAATTATTTGTGTAGCATTGGTTGTAAGATATAGTTGAAAAACAACTATAACCTGCAAGATACGGTTGGAAAATTGCTAATTTTCCCTTATTGGAAATTGTATTCAACACAGTCAAGATGTTGTTTTTTGTTTGTGCTTTGACTATTTAGGATGAAAATCATGAATTACTTCCGCTCTTCTTTTTAATGACAACGTTACAGGCAGTTGTTGAAACTGAAGTAATCATTTTTTAAAAGCTTCCCGAAGATTTTTCAGTTGTTAGTGAAAGATTTTCCAGCGCTAACAATTTTAACACCGTTATCAAAATTTTCATAATAACGATGTTATCAGCTTAAAACATTGTCAACTTTATGTAAAGACATCTTTGTTTTCGTAGGTGACAAACGAAACAACGAAACAGCTGATCTCAAATTAGGGTAATGAAACATTGTTTTTTTCCACACTATGTTTTTAGCTGTTTTCCATACGTTAATTGGTGGTTGAAAGTTACGTTTTGCTGGGCCATGCCAGCTGTCATCGTTATTTGGGGACCGAGCAGGGTTTTACATCCCTAGGGCCGCAAAAACAGCTGCCCGCTTACTTTCTCAAAACATGAATGCATATTAAATACACAATCCATAGCATTGCAATAGAATAGTATTTCAGTTCTCGATCGTTTTAAGTTCTCTACTTCGTCTCGAACTTGTGTCGAGTCGGCAAAACCTCATTTTCGGCCCTAGGTGCGAAATGTACTATTGAAAATGTTATTACTTTTCGTTACTTGTTGCAAATATTACTGCAACTAAGATAAACATAACATTTTAGTTGTTTCTCCGCTAAATCCAAAGACATCCGGTTTCATTAATTTCAAGATTTATAATATCCTTTCATTATTCAAATTCACTGTCGATTATTTTAAAAATTTTTTTAAGACAATTTCCAAATTGTTAAAGATGTATACTGTACTTCTAACGCAAACATAGATTAATTTAACGAATTGGTAGTTGTTGTTGACCTAGATGAGAATGTTGTATGAAAATAAACGATATGCCGATTGTAATAAACGAAACTGTTTACTTAAAATATTTTCATAAGTCTACACATAAATCTTTTTAGTAAAAAGTAAAATCAAATCTACGTTCAAAATATGTAACCCTGAAATAACAAACTTAGTTCACATCCGTTGCCACCATCTTGCAGGTGTTCGTATTTTGCAATATCGCATTTTCCCTCTTCCACTAGCTTCACCTCCTTATTCAAATTTGAAATAGCAATTTTCTCTATAATAAGTGGTATGTTAAACCGTAAATCATCATAGGTAAAAATATGATAAATAATTCTACAAGAGTTTATTAAAATTAGTAGTAACCGTTTTTGACAATACCGTTAGAAAGTCTAATATCAATTGAGCCGTTATATCAATTAATTGTCCTAATAATCTGA